ATAAAAGAGGATAGATGGGGGGGGGGGGGGGGGGAGAGAGGGAGGGGGAGAGAGAGAGAGAGAGAGAGAGAGAGAGAGAGGAGAAAGAAGTAAGGGAGAAAGGACTCAAGAGCTGGATGTGAGTACTAAGATCTCCAGGCCTGCAAAGGGAAACAGGTGATGAACAGAAGGAACAAGACATCACAATTACCAAGAAAATTTCAGTAGGATGGCAGGGGAGAATTCAGACGATTAAAAATGTGACTGGGGACTTCCCTGGTCATCCAGTGGTTACGACTCTGTGCTCCCAATGCAGGAGACCTGGGTTCAATCCCTGGTCAGGGAACTAAGATCCCACATGCCGCAACTAAAAAAAGATCCTGCATGCCACAACGAAGATCCCTGTGCCGCAACTAAGACCCGGTGCAGCCAAATTAATAAATAAATAAATATCAAAACACAAAAAATGTGGCTCTGTGACTTGAGGATCTAGGGCAGGAAGTCCCGAGATGGTAACTAAGCTTTAGAATGCAATCAAAATGGATTTCTTTAACCAGGTAAGACAACCTCATCCATCATTGCCTGACCCGGCGCTCAGAGGTAGATGAATTTAGCGTCTGGATGGCTGAAATGCCAGCAACCACCAGCTGGGCAACCCAGGTTATATAACTAGTTCTTCACTTACACTGATAAAAAGACAGGTGCAAAAAAACAAAAAAAAAGGGAGGGTAGGAGAGGCTGGATAGTTTCTCTCCACGTGGGGCCATCAGCCCATATGTGGATCAATAATTAAGGAGTAGCCTTGATATGTTATCACTTAGAAGACAAAGAGTTCTGACATGGGCTTTCCATTGCTCAGAGTATAAAACAGAATAAAAATTAAATTGCGAGAGTCAAAACAAGAATTATCGTTTTAAGATTCATTTACATGACACCTTTCACATGATTTTCACAATGGGGTAGCAGTTTTAAGTTAGAATAAGTATGTTAAAATGTAACATAGGCAGAAAGGCAGACAGATGACTCTAAAGAAGAAAAAATATTCTATAAATCATTGTGCTTGGGAGAAAAATATGATTTATTTAACTTTTTCCATGCAGGTTTGTATATATTTGATTATTTATTTTATGACAAAAATTCACAAGAAATATTTCTTTCTAGGATGATCAACCTTACTTTTTCTCTTGATAGCCCTATAATTTTTGACAAGTTCATGTTTTAAATACCCATAAAAGTCATGTCACAGGAAGGAAAATGAATTTTGTTCCGAAGAATGAAAGAAAAACTAAGAAATCAAAGAATCAAAGAGAATGGGAAAAGATGATCCCTGGGTAGGGACATTTACGTTCACATTTTCTACAATTAGCACTAGGAAGATCTTTTTCTGAATAAATCATGCCTATCAATTTTCATAACTTACTAGTTTCATTTAGGTCCTATAAACATTTATAAGGGAAATAGTACCTTCTTGGCTTCATAAAGGACATGTTTATGTATGTATGCATGTATGTATCTATATGTATCTATGTATATATCTCCAATGAAGATTTGATACTTTCTAGAGATTATCATAAAAACATAATTTATGGGCTTCCCTGGGGGCTCAGTGGTTAAGAATCCGCCTGCCAATGCAGGGGACACGGGTTCGATCCCTGGTCCGGGAAGATCCCACATGCCACAGAGTAACTAAGCCCATGTGCCACAGCTCTTGAGCCTGTGCTCTACAGCCCACAAGCCACAGTTACTGAGCCTGCGTGCCACAATTACTGAAGCCCGAGTGCCTAGAGCCTGTGCTCCACAACAAGAAAAGCCACTGCAATGAGAAGCCCGCACACCCCAACAAAGAGCAGCCCCCGCTTGCCACAACTAGAGAAAGCCCACATGCAGCAATGAAGGTCCAACGCAGTGAAAAAAAAAAACCAAACAAACAAAACAAATTTATGTATGAAAAGTTAGCTGAGATTTGACTTAAGATACTCAGAGCACTAAAAGCTTTAATAATTTCAGATATGGCATATGGCATGAGTATTTATTCAAATAAATATATATATTACATGTATATAAATATTGATATATGTATAGATAAATGTATATATGTATTTATTAAGAAACAAAACACAAGCAAATCAGGGATAAAAAAAATGATGGAATTGTAACTAAATAAGCAATAGATATTTTGTAAGCATAATTGGGAGCTTACCTATCTACTCTTTTCTCTAAATTCTTAACACTGTAGTATAACATTTTGGCAAAATGTTGATAATTATATATGATGGGTATTGGGTATATGGTAGGTTAATAAACTACAGTCTTTATATATGGTTGAAAATTTTTATAACATCTATAATTTGTGCATCTATAACAGCGATCAGCAAACTATGGGCCAAATCTGGAAAATCTGACTGGAACATAGCCATGTCCATTCATCTGCATATCCTCCATGGCTTGCCTTCACACTACATCAGAATTAAGTAATTGCTCCAGAGACTGTTTGGTGTATAAGATCTACCATATTTACTCCCTGGCTCTTTACAGAAAGAGTTTGCTGACTCTTGATCTATAACATGGATTTCATTCATGCAAGTGGTATGTTTGTCAAAGAAACTTTTAACAGAGATTTTGTTAAGTAATAAATTAATAAGATTCCTAAATGAGGATCACTGAGATTCCTAACATCATAAACTCATCATTTAGCAGGAATAAAAACTGAAAATATCTCTCACTATACAAAGTAGGGGCAAGAGAGTAGTTTTATTTACACACACAAAAAATCAATGTCTCTAAATTTTAAATAATTTTTAAATTATTTTAAATGTAAAATAATAATTTTTAAATTATTTTAAATGTAAAATAATAATTAAAAAATAGTATTTTGAAGCTCCTTATATAAATCTTTTAGGTCATTAGGATACTTTGCTTATTTTTTATATTCAAGGATTAAACTATTAGAAACACAATTCTCTTATTCCTGTTCCTTCTTTTGTTGCAGAAAGTAAATTTACCCCCCAAATGTCATAGAAGATTCCTAAATCCAGGAATAAAAGGGGAAATCATAATCATACTATTTTCCTAAGGTCTATTTTTCTACTCTTACCTACTAATACCTCTCTCACCAAAAAAAAAAAAAGGAGAGGATGTCTTTTGCAAGGGCAAAGGGAGATGGAATTCAATTTTCATTATGAAAGGCTTACAGCTAGACAGATGATCTACACTAAAATGCCACTGTGACTCTACCAAAAACCTTTGGACTAAACTGTAAAATCATGATAATCTTAGCAATTCAAGTGAAGTGAAGAAAGAAAGATAACTGAAAATCTGTTCACTGTCTAATACTGGAGGATGGGAAGGATTCAGTGTAGATATTTTATTCATTGTAGATTTAAAAGCAATAGACCAGAAAGTACTTTGATGTCTATGTAATAATTTTTTGTCCCACGTTTTTCCAATTTAATTCGGTACGATAGATCGCACATAGTATTTTATAAATGCTTTTTATCTAGGATCTAACTAATATTCTAAGGCACTATGAAAGCAGATGATTCAATCAGATGATTAAAATCTGCCTTCTCACCATGAAAGTTATTTAATGTTCTCAGTTGAAAACTGGATATTATTATTTTTTAATCATAATAAATTGTTCTTTTCCTGTTAGTGAGTTGGTTAAATTAACTATTTTCCTTACTTTACCTAATTGGCGTATTATATAAAGTCATGTTCTTTAATCTGAGCAGCTCGATTTGTTTTTTATAAACATTAACTTGAACAGGGGTTACTTCTTGAGAAGTACTGAATATCATTAACTCCAAAAACGAATTACTAATTTACATATGTAAACTATCAAATAATGTTTTTCTTTAGTCCTGCTTCAGAATTCCAATGAATGTTATGTTTGATAAAAGAAATAACTACTTAATAAGGGCTGAGGCTATTGTTAATTGCCCTGCACTACAGTTAATCCAATGATTTATTGGACGTAGTTTTTACAATCTATCTTTACAGAATGTGAAAACTCCAGCCATGTCCACAATTATCTTTACATATGTATGTGGGATACACATTTTTCAAGAAGCCTAAAACTAATTACTACTGCAGGTTACAAAGGTGAATTGAAGCTAATTAGTGCTAAGTGGTGTAACTAAATCATACTGGAGCTAGAATAATTAAAACTCTATTCCAAACTTATAATAATAAATCAAAACGCTCAATTGTACAAAGCACATGGCTTTAATTACACATAAAGACTTTCCTCTGACTATTGTCATAAAATAACATATAAAATCTACTATCATGTAAAACCCAGTTCAAAATAATCCATTGTTCTTACGGAATGATTTAGGCAGCATCTTAGAAGCAAGCCCTAAATAGCTAAAAACAAAAACAAAAACAAAAACAAGGGCTTCCCTGGTGGCGCAGTGGTTAAGAATCCGCCTGCCAATGCAGGGGACACGGGTTCAAGCCCTGATCCGGGAAGATCCCACATGGCATGAAGCAACTAAGCCCATGTGCCACAACTACTGAGCCTGCGCTCTAGAGCCCATGAGCCACAACTACTGAGACTGTGAGCCACAACTACTGAAGTCTGCGCTCTAGAGCCTGCGAGCCACAATTACCGAAGCTCACACACCACAACTACTGAAGCCCACGCACCTAGAGCTTGTGCTCAACGAGAGAAGCCACCACAATGAGAAGCCCACGCACCGCAACCAAGAGTATCCCCCACTCGCTGCAACTAGAGAAAGCCCGCATGCAGCAATGAAAACCCAACGCAGGCAAAAAATAAATAAATTAAAACAAAAAACAAAAACGAAACCTTCAAGCAGGTTCACAAAGATAAGGATGCAATATATAGTCTAATTCAATGTTAGGTAACTACAAACTAATGCTTGCATCAGAAAAAGATCCAAGCTTTTCTGAGTGACTAATGAGAGCAATACTAGACACTGTCCTTCAGTGAAAATATTTATATTTGTGCCATTATCCGTCAAACGAAAATCACCACTTTGAGAATCATGTTTTGGATGTTAACCTAAGCATCAGATAGATGACTGCGAAACAAAGAATCCACCCTAAGAGATCACGTTTTCAGGATTTTGACTTTTTTTATAAATTGTGACAAAACATTCCTACACAAATATAATTAAGAAGATCTAGGTTGTTTTAGTGTCTCTGAAGCACTAAATTATATTTCCATTTAGTATGTACTACAGTGATAAATTTCTTCTCACAGAAAACTTTCATTTTCTTGTACCATTTGATTTCCTACTATGATAACATCCGTGCCAGCCTGGAATATTTATGTTTACGTGCTATGTGATTGGCAGCCCTATAATTATGATAAGCTCCTTGGACCACAGTTTCTATGGCAACAGTCTAAGTGTCCATTCTTACCTGCTTTCTGGTCATCCACTGTATTGAGTTTAGTCTCGTCAGCTACTGTTAAAAGGTAAATGTATAATGGTTAGCCCAGTTAGTCCCACAGCCCAACATGCTTCAACCATTCCCAGATCTTTTCAGTTAGGTGATAATTCTTAGGTAATATTTCATGCAAAATATATGAAATATCAAGCAAACATTCATAATCAAAAAAAAGGGGGAAAAAGCAGTGTCTCCATGCAATGCCAGTCATCTCATTTCACAGACACGTGTGTTATTGATATGTTAGCATATCATAATTAGCCAGGCAAGGAATAGCCCGATTTTTCTTTTATGCATGGGATAAATGAATGTTTTTAGTCTCGAAGTACAAACAGCCACCAGAGAACAGCATAAATACGTTATAGTTGATTAACAAAGGTTTTTCTAATCATTCAATTGGTGTATGGATATAATTAATTAATTAATTTGTTTGTTTGTTTGTTTTGGTTTTTGGTGGATTTGGATTTAAAAAGAGACACTACATGATCGGTGTCTGATTGAACAACTAGGATTATTTTCCTCCTCTCATTTGCTTCCAAATACTTTCTACAATAAATATGCTCTCAAATTATGACTCCAGTTAAAGGCCTTAATTATCAACACATAAGGGTTTCTATCAAATAAACCTTAAAGGACAGCAATGGAAGGAAAATATCACGAAGTAACCAAACTCTAGACATGGATTGAGATAATGGTTTCTCTCCAAAACGTCTTCTGGTTCAAGCATCCCCACAACCAACCAAATCATATTCCAATGAAATTGGTTTTAAGCAGCCAAAGTGTTAAAACATTTCGTTTTTTTCAAATAAAGATACATGAATAGAGCATGATATGCACATGTGTTTGTTTCTTTTCTCATCAGAAAACATATATATTAACATATTGCACATGATGTAAACATGCCACTTAGAAGTATGGTTATCTCAAACTTGGAGAAAAACTAATTTTTGCCAAATTGCCTCATTTCGCATTTATTTTCTCTATTGCTCACAGTAAACAGACATGTGTTTGGGACCATCGATTTTCATCTGAAAGCATCTAAACCGTATTTAGATAAAGATTCATGGAGATTGTACTCACTACCTAAATCCATGCTTTTTGATTTTCGCGTTTTAACGAAATCCAATTGACTGGCATCTGAAAATTGCTTTGTGCGTTTTTCTGACATACTCTGACGTCCAAATCCCTCTCGTTGAAAAGCAAGAACTGGATCGACGTCTGGACTCAAAGAGCTGGTGTGAAGAGAAAGAGAAACATAAAAACATTTATTGAAAATAAGAGACATGACGTTCAGGAAAGTTCATCTACACCTGTGTGTATGAATGTGTGTATATGGATATTCCTCAGAAATATTTAAACTAAATAGCACAAATATAGTCCATCAAAAGAACTGTGGTTGTGTAGGAGGTGACGGGAAAATACGACATTAATTTACATTTAGAGCAATTCCTTCTCCATGTGAGAAAGACTGAATCTTTGAGGAAAACTTTCATATATTAATACAAATACTGGCAGCAAATTAGTGACTATATGAATTGCAACTGAATAGAAGTTTTGAAAAGGGTATGTTCTGCAGACTTGTGGTTGACGTGGGGGAGGGATGGATTGGGAGTTTGGGATTAGCAGATGCAAACTATTATATACAAAACGGATAAACAACAAGGTCCTACTGTATTGCACAGGGAACTCTATTCAATACCTTGTGATAAACCACAATGGAAACGAATATGAAAAAGAATGTATATATGTACACTGAATCACTTTGTTGTACAGCAGAAATTAACATAACATTGTAAATCAACTATAGTTCAATAAAATAATTTTTTTTTAAAAAAGGATATGTTCTGGTCATTTTATATATCCTTTATCTTGTGTTTCAGAAAAAAAAAAAAAAACACCTTTATGGCATGCAGTTTTATGAGGATGTAGCTTCTCTGCAATACTTAATCAACTGAGAAGAAATCAACTCAACAAATCACGATTAGATCCTATTCTTATGAAAGTGTGGTGCCGGGTACCAAAGTCAAAGTAATAAATAAGAAAAGATCTCTATTCCCTAAGAAAAATATCAAACCCGAAGCACACATAAGACTGTGTGGATGCATGGATGGGAGACTGACTGGTATTCCAGGGAGTCAGGAAAAGCGTGACTAAGTCTGGATGGCATTTGATCTGTGTGACACCAACACAGTGGCTCCAGCAGAGATGATGAAACACAGGGCAGATCAGTGGTAACAGGATACAGTATCAAGTGTTTTCACAATGGAAGTGGCAGGGGAATTGGTCCTATTTGTAAATCCCACTAACACTTTCAGAAGCACCACCAGGTGTTGGGAGCCCAGCCCCACAATGACGTGGTTTTTCTCTATGCTGAGCACCGTGAGTAAATAGAGAGCTCTCCTGTACCAGTGTGGAGCCACCTTGCCTACATGGCCAGGTAGGAGAACATCCCTCCACAGCTCACTGGACACGCGAGAATGTGGTGGCCTCTCCACTACGTCAGCTTCCACTACACAAGCCCTCCTTATGCTTCTGCTGGAAACCAGCTTCTCTAATCCTGTATTGGTCCTATGGGAATGACCATGCATATTGATAAAAGGGTAGTGATCTGGTTTGGATATACATCAGAAATTTAGCTGCAATTCACTGTGCATGAAATGACAGATGGCATTAGGGAAAGGCTAAACCAAAAACTGCGACAAGGAAGACATGAAGGCAGTGCTTTGCCATCAGGTGGTGTGGCCTGAACGCTTTGAGCCCCTGTGTCTTCATTGGCTCCGTGAAGAAAAGAGTGGCCCCAACCACTGGCCGGGCCACTGAGAGAATTCAAGGACACAAGGGGAAAGCCCTCAGTAAACTGCAGACCACCATGCAAAGTAAGTTATTATTAGCCGACAAAGACTTGCTATCTCAAATTTTCAAAGTTATGAAAACTATGATAACGGAAACAGGGTATTTAAAAACCAACCATCAACCAAAACCTCCAAAAGGAAATGGACGATCCCTCTCCATCTTTTCCACCAAGTACAGAGCAGGGCCCGGGGAGGAGGCAACGTGGGTGCCTGGGACTCAGAATTCAAGGGAGCTCTGATCTCAGGGTCCTGTGAGTTCAGGGGCCACACCTGAGAGTGAGGAGCTCCTTACGTTTGCTCCCCTGGGCACCCAGCTTGCTAACCCTTGTTCTGGCTCAGGGACTGGGAGCTCAGCCCAAAGCAAAAACGATTTTTTTATGTAAAACACTACGTTATATCCTAATCAATGTTATTTTGTTTGCATCCTACACTAAATCTTTTCATTTTTAATATATCATATCTCATCTGTAAAGCCTGGAATAAATTTGACGTTCCAGGAAGAAGCAGGGTCATGTTCACCTTGAAGCCTTAGGTGCCCCTTCTCATACTACTCTGCTCATACCCTATGTGTGTATGTATATACATGTGTGTGCATAGCTCCAGCATATATTACGTATATAAGTATAGACTGCTTTTGCATATTTCTTAAATATATATGTGTGTGTATATTATGCTTATATAGTAGTATCCACATACTACTATGCTTATAATTTCCAGGGCACATACACCCCAATTCGAAAACACAGTCCTAGAAAATTAAAACCTATATGGTGAGAACAATTTTGCAACAATAAACACTAAATATGCTATTTGAACTAAGAGTAATTCTTTTTGTTTGTTTGTGCATTTTGGCTGCGCCATGAGGCATACGGGATCTTAGTTCCCTGACCAGGGATCGAACCCGCGTCCCCTGCAGTGGAAGCTCGGAGTCTGAACCACGGGACAGCCGGGGAAGTCCAAGAGTAATTCTTTTAGATACTGAAAGTTGATCTCTCCGACCATCCTGCACATGCTCATCAACACTTTTCTGTATCGTGTGAATTACACTAAAACCTGAATTCCAAAATAGGCATCAAGTGTGTGAACAGAGTGAATCTGCAATACATTTTTAATAAAAATTATTGGTTAAAGGTTTTTCAAAGAAGTACAAATTTTTGTTCCTGAAAGCCACATATTGCCGTATTTTTTAAACTAATTTTATATCCTCCGAAATTATGTTGTCACTAAGATGAGAATTTGCTGTTTTACCTTCTTCACCTTAAAAACGTTGTTATGTTCCCTAAATCAATTCATGGATTGAAAACAAGTATATTCTATCAATTAAGAAACGCAAACTTTAGCCATTTGACATATTCAGCCTTCCACAATCGTGCAGCGAACTGTACACATACACAACTGAAAATGGCAAATGAGTTTTTGAGTGAATAAGAATCTTAAAATAACTAAATATTCTTAAACCATAACATAATTAATTCTTCCCATTAAACTAATTTCAGACACAAGAAACAATACGCTAGCATACTTAGCAAGTTAGTCTGCAGGACTGACAGCTGATTCTTTAAAGAATGTAACCATACCCTGACCTCCCCCCCACAAAGTTATTAAAATTCCAGTTATTAATCCTGCCTTATTGCCCTTTTGTTTTCATAACATTTTCATCAAGGATTAGGGAGATACTGTCATGCTGGAAAAGCTTAATTTTTCTGCCGTGATTCAGAACAGCTGCCATTCTTGTTTGGATAACCCTTCATTCATATACTTTTCCAGCCCCTGCACATTCCCCACAGCAAAATCATACAAGTCCTCACTGTGTTATGAATCCCCTTAGGGAGATTAATGCCACACTCCAGCCCTGCTCGTTGTTTGTTGACTTTCACCAATACAGCATTTCTTAAGGCCCCAAACATCTATTCCTACGGCTGCCTTCAAAATTCCTCATCACGGTGGAGACTCAAAAGGTTTTTGTCCCTTCGATGAATACTGCAAATATCTAATCCTTACCGTCTCTGTCATTGCTTTCACTTTCAGAAAGAGATATAAACCGCAGCGGTAAATGCTACAGCGTCTGATTCAGGTGGGTTTTTACTTTGTATGGTAGCTCCCCCTCTACGCCGAACCAAAAAACGCGTTCAAAGGTAAGCTGTTATCACACGGGCTTGAGTGTAGCTCAATGCCACAACACTGAAATATCATTTTGCTGATGGATTCTTAAAAGACCCCAGAGAAAGGGCAATAAGAAGATTCTGGTATAATGCTTCACATGGTTGTGTTCATTATCACTACAGCCTTCCAAGGTCATCCCTGGCAGGGACTGTCCTTTCGCTTATTGATGTATATAATTACTAGGCACGCAAATGAAGACACTCATCCACATTTATGTGCCACACATTGGCTCAATAATATCAAATGCTTTCTTCTATTTTGAGAGATAAAATAGCCTTAGACTGCCCCTGAAGTCATAATGTTAGAAGTAAGTACAGAGACTAGTCAAGTTATAGCGCTCTAAAAAGAAAATCTGAAAAAGCCTCTTCCCACTCCCAGAACGTAACAACTACTAATTTGGCCAAAGTCATCTAATTGTGACAAACTCTCGGTCACCAAAGGGATTTGCTTAGAATTTATTTATGGAACAGAAAAACAATTCGTCGAATTAACACAGATCTGAAATAAAAGTTTCACTTGTGAAACTTAACTTAAATGAGTAGAGTTTGGGGGTTAGTGGTAGTTTTCTTGTTGGTTTGGCTAAACTCTTAACGATAGCACTGAAAAGGCTGACACAGTTGGGCAGGTTTATGAGGCTGGGGGGAATCTTTTGCTTAAGGAGTGACAACTACGAGTATTAAATCGTTATTATTAAATCAGAACACCGCTATAAAAGACATTGATTCACTGTGCTCGGTGACAGACTGTTTAACCCTAAAATCAAGTGTGACTGCATGTGTAACCGATGTTTCCCAACAGTGCTCTTACCACTCTGCTGACTCACTGATGCCGGCCTTGGCCCACGCGCCAGTGTCCGTTGTCACAAATCCTACATCATCGTGGGAGCTGGAAGACGACTGGTCAGAGAGATGTGGGGGGAGTACTGGCAGCCTGTCATCCTCGATAATGACAGTGTCGTCTTGGGGCATATTCACCGTGGGGGACAGCTGGTATTTACCTGTCCAGTGGAAAAAAACAAAGAGATATTCTAGACATCCATCTAAGGGTTATGGATATGAATGTTAATACTTTGCTACATTAGAAAAAGTCTAAATTTCCAAAATCTGCTCAACCTGGTAGGACAAAATGGAATTAAGTAAACTTATTTTTCATAGATGAATGTCAAATGGAGACCTCCGGTCTATTCCTTCCTCTGACACGACAGCTATGGTGCTCTGGGTGTGGTATTCTATGTCTCTGGTATTAAGTTTCCTAAGGCCAGAGATGATCTCCAGAATGACTTCTAATGTGAAAATGCCACATAGATTTGAAGTCGTTTATAGTCCTTTGAAAAATTTTACGAGGAAATCTGGAGGGAAGCCCTGCAGACTTACATCAATCATTCACTCATTGACTAGCTGGGCACCTACCACCTGGCAGGTTTGTAAGGAAGACTTAATCTCTGCCTCTCAATGGCTCACACCTCAGAGAAGGAGATAGATAAAGTAGTAATTGATTGGTGCTCTGAGTGATGTGCCAGAAGTGCCCTGGCATTCACTAGTGCTGGCAATTGCCTGGGTAGCTGAAGGAAGAGGATGCTGGGAGTCTTAAAAAAAAGTCAACATCCGAGATGGGTTTTGAATGATTAATACGATCTCTTCTACTGTAAGAAACGATGACATTGGTTTTAGACATCAGCAAGAACATCATTAAATGCATGATGGAGAAAAGTGCACAGTGCACTCAGGTGACACTTCAAAGATGAGCCTTGTGGGGAGATGGTAGGAGTGATATTAAAGAGAAGAGATTAGGATCTCACTGCCCAGAGGTTTTTCAGGCCAAGACAGGGGAGCTTGTAAATTTTGATTTATTCAATTAGGATATAGTGTTCTCGGTAAGAAAAGGCCCAGAACTGTCCACATTGATCAGTTTCTTTCAGTAAAATCTGCTCAGGTTCCAGGATCGGCATGATAGGCGTTTATCTTTCCTGGGATAAAATTATAATTCAGGGCCCTGAATCCTTAAAGATAAAGCTGGGGTCCAAATGTTGCCATCTTCCTCCCCAAAACACCTATAGTTCTTCTGGCTTCCTCCTCAAATCTTGGGCCATATTTCCTCTGAGCAAGAACTCATGGGCGAAGCTTCGGTTCACATGGATATCTTGTGAAAGGCTGTCCTCAGAGAAACATGCATCACGGTGTGGTGTCGCCCTACTGGCCTGTCTCTCCCAACAGAGCAAGGAGAACGGACAGTTTCCCTGTCACCTTACAGGAGGATGGAAACACTGTCATTTCAAGTCCAATGTCCACAGCTGTTAAGTCAGCTCTCCCGGTTCCTACGCAAATAAAAAGGATTGCTGCACCTTCCCAATCCTACCACCGTTTCAAACAGGATGCCCTTGTCCTTTACGAGTAATTTCTTTTAAAAATAGCACAATAGCAATGTGAAGACAGTTCATGAACATTTTCACATCTGTCTTAAGATCTAATTTTTAAACATTCACAAGAATGTGTAAACGATATTTTTCGTTTTAACACCATTTTGGAAACTGGGAGATGGCATATATAGACTTGAAGGATTTTTTAAAATATATATTATTCTAGACATTTCAACAAAGGAGCAAACATTAAGTTGATCTTTTCAGGACAACCCACAAAAGCAAACTTGCTAGAAATTTCAAATGCAATCATTACTTAGCATCAACTACTCTATTACGGAAATAATATATGTTCACTGAAACCTCTACTCAGCAAATTATCATGAAAATACTCTATTTTGATTTGAAATGCATCCATTTTGACAAATTGTGAAAACTAGCAACTGTTTATAAACGCTCATGATAAAAATGTAAATCAAACTTAATACTTCATTGCTTCCCTTTCCTGAATTCAAATCACTCCTTTATGCCTACTTGAGTTTTAGGATATTAGTACAGAAAGACAGAAATCTGTTCAATAAAATATCATTTATAAATAAGATCGGACATTCCTGCACTACTACCTAAAGAAACATTTCCTTCCCAAAACATACTTTTTTCCCCCCAAAAGTGTACAGAATGACAAATCCAAGTTATCCCTGGTAGCTCACCACTGACAAGGCACATGTCACAGCATTAAATGCCATGTCCTCACACAGGCAAAATTTATTGGAAGAAACTATATTGATATAATATAGCACATTCATTTCTAAACACAAAAACAAAAATGTTTATGCAATATATTCTGAAAGATAGTCTAGCAAGCAGTATGGAACACAGAATGGTTTTTCATGTGACAGTCCTTTTTCATGTTGTTTTGAGTAGAAATATTGTTCCTTAGGTGATCTAAAAATTTATACCTAAAGAAACTGCAGGAAATGTCCCTATTAACCGTAAGACAAGGATTCAGCTTTTTTTCTTTCCCCTATGATTCTGGAGGCTAATATTTCAAAAGACTTGAGAATATATGTTTTCCACTTCTTAACATACTTGTGACGAACAGTGTTTTGGGATGCGGCTCCAAGAATATATTGGGGGGTAATGAACTAAGCTATCAAGCTACATATTCTACCAAACTCCCCTTAGAATAACTCTCAATTATGTTTGCAGGTACTTGGCATGTCCTAAATGTGAACCCTTCGAAGGGTGACTTCAGAAACCTTTGATCCGGTTTTTAATGAATAAACTTTCCTTTCCTCAACTAGTTAACCAACAAACTAAGATTTAGACTGTAGCCGAGTGAAACAATGAGATGCAGAATGACTGTTTACTAAACATTTATTCATTGGTACATTTACATAGAAGGCAACACTATGTGAAATGAGAAACCTTTTGCCAGAGATTTGACTCACAATAAAAACAACCTTAATATTCCATTTTTCTACGTTGACTTTCTAACAAGATCAAAGTATTCTGAACAGAATTATTTTTTAAACTCACCACAATGTATCAATATAAAAACTACTGAGATTACATTAAAAAATGGAGACCACAGATTTCAGTTGTGCTTTAAACGGAAAAATTCTTCAGATAAAAAAGGTGGAAAACATTTAAGGTTCCATGCTCCCAAATGTCAGCTTGTGGTATGTCCTATGAAGTGAACACGCTGGTGAAATTAGCTACACCTATTACCTCTATGGTTATTAGTAGTACTAGTTAAGACAGTCCAGCAATTTGTAAAATATTTTTAAGGCTTTTAAAAGGAAGAAATCCTATGTAGCCTTGCTACAGATTTCTTTTTGATAAATATCCAAAATTACTCCTTGAAAATCCATGATAGTGGAAAGTCAGCCAATACAGATGACACTTGGAGAACTCTTGCCTTTGGCTGAGACTCTGGCTGACCCCACCAAGAGCTAAGGAGATCGATCAGGTTCCAGTAATGTGGGACTCGTGACTCAGAAAAATATGCATCGCAATTCTGGTTCAGAAACACAGAAGTCTGGGGCTTCAGACCTGTCACTTAACTTCTTTGGGCCAGAATTCCCCTGAACAGACGTTTAGTAGGTTGGAGTACACGATTTGTAAGGTTGTTGCAAAGATAACTTTGATTTTTAAATCACAGTTGTTGCCAGAATGGAAGATTCTGTTAGACTGTCTAAAGCCAGTTGCTTGAAAATGTGGGTACTTAAAAATGGATGTCAATAAAGGATGAATGTCACTAACACTTACTGTGTGATCCCAGTCTTCCTCAGAGACGGCTATTTTTAGAAAGAGGAAAAAGCCAAGAACAAAATAAAACAAAAATCGTCATGGGATCTTGGGACTTAGTTCTTTTATCTGTTAAGTGGGAAAGTGTAGCTGATGACATCTGACACGCTTCCAACTCTAAAATCTCTTCCTTTTTTGGTCTATTTTTTGGAAGCTTCTCTCCTGGGTTAGGTTCCCATAGAAATGAGTCAGAAAGCCTCAAAGCTCCTTCTGGGTCTAGCGTTCCACAGGAGGAATATGCTACATGAAAATTCACCCTGTCCACATAAGATTAATCACTTCTTAATGTAGTCAGCTGGAATTTCAATACAAAGTTCTATCTGAATCATAGCAGATCACGGAGCAGATACCACCACCTCCACTGGTGTCTACACAGGAGATATCCTAAAGGTACAGAAGACAACCACTAACCAAACAAGATCTGAAAATTTTCCATGCACCCAGATACTGTGCCCAGCAGTAAATACTGCTGCTATTGGTTTAGGTTAACTGGAAGTCAATGCTTTAATTTCTTATATTTGGTACCTGGCTTTGGTATCTTGTTGCAAGGTACTATCTTTGCAAGATTTCTAACTTTAAGTGGAAAGTGATGTTACGAACACTGTCTGTTTCTTAGGGCCAATGATGCTGAAATAGGGACTGACAAAGACTGAGGAATTCTCGAATTTGTAAAACTCAAGATAAATCAAATTAAGCATATACATTTCTCAGAGTAAAACAACATGGGATCCCTAGTTTCCCATACAACGTGTAAAAAACTATCTTAAGAAAATATCCAAATCATTCAACATCAATTTGGCCTACCAACGAAGAGTAAGGAGTCTGTCACTGCCCCCCACCCCAGCCCAAAAGGCCACGCACAGTACATCACAAAGCACAGAGCTGGAAGATTACTGCCCCAGCAGAAGCATCTGGAATTTTCAAGTCCATTACATCTCTAGCAGAGGAAAGGGAAAACAATGCCAACTCTAGTGCAAACTTAAGAGGACTAACGAGGCCACAGCTAATAAAATCAGAGCAATAGACTGAAGAAAAAGAAAGAATCCTCAACCCATATATACAGCACTTCCAAAGGTCACTAGGTGAATTGCGGGGGGGGGTTTGTTTTTTAGTTTTAGTTTTTCGCCTTCCTCTGAAGCATCAGGGATTGGAGTCAGGACGCAGGTTACAGGAACTGGTGGACCAATGGTCTGATTCAGTATGGCAAGTCCTATGTTCCTATAATAAAGGGGAAATTACAGCGAATCACTTTGTATGCACACAGATCCAGGGAACACATACACTCTCTCGCTCAAGGGGTCTTGAATTTTCATCAATAACAAAGTATTTAACTGGCTTCCCTGGTGGCGCAGTGGTTGAGAGTCCGCCTGCCGATGCAGGGGACACGGGTTCGTGCCCCGGTCCGGGAAGATCCCACATGCCGCGGAGCGGCTGGGCCCGTGAGCCATGGCCGCTGAGCCTGTGCGTCCGGAGCCTGTGCTCCGCAGCGGGAGAGGCCACAGTGGTGGGAGGCCCGCGTACCACAAAAAAAAAAAGAAGTATTTAACAAAGATAAAGTGTCACAGCACAACCAGGAAAGTAGGGAAAACCCCACCACAGTGAGGAGAGTGATCATTAATAAGCAAAGGTTAACCTGACAAACTATGTGCAATGCCTGTCACCTGACAGGTGCGCAATATCTTCAGCATCCTTCCCCAACTTGCACTATGTCAAGCAGGCCAAAAGAAAACTGTTGGCAAAATTCAGCCAGAGAGCTGGCACGTCTTCATTCTACACGTCACAAACTAAGAAATAAGGAATTTAGCAATTTTTCCAAACAAGAACGCTAGAAGGATTAGAGGAAGAACAACAGAAAATTCTACCAGTCACGTTCACGTATTTTTCCTATCATGCCCGCTAGAAAGTTCTTTGACGGCAGACTGATTCTCACTTGTCTTTGTATCTACAGCAAAAGTATAGGCACAATGTCTTGCCAACAGCAGGCTTTCCATAAACATCCACTGATGAAGGAAACAAATTCCTGTTCCAGTGAAGCTTCCTAATGGAGACGTGAATTGTATTAAATCTCCATTAAGTGTGCTCAAAGTGGAGTTAAGTTTAGGTTGCACTTCATATTAGAGGCTTGCAAAACACACCAGCAATAAGTGTTTTATGTCACGTGCTATTTTAATCAAAACAGCTTCTTATGTGTTAAATTTGACAACTCTCACAAGTGAATCCCAAGATAAGCAACTCAGTAAATCAAACCACTCTGGTGGCAAAGCAAGTCTTTATTAACGGGACCTGTTAGCAGAGAGCTGAAACGGCTGCAGAGCAAGTGCTAATCACCTCATTCCTCACTGGGGGCCACGCAGACACTATGGTGCTGAATGCAAACAAAGGATGTGAAAAACTAGTTTCAGGATTTTCAAATGAAGGCTTTGAAAAAGTCAAGATGCAATTAAAAAAGGGTAACACCTTATTAAGTACAAACCACAAAATGTGAATATTCACATACATGCATATACATATTTTTCCCCTCCCTCCAAACAGTGCTATTGTAAACATGTAACTTTTGAATCCTTCTTGCCATAAGCCACTAAATTTTGATTTAAAAACAAAACCACAGCTTCACTTATCGTCTCAGACATGCTAAGAATATCTTCATCACTGGAAAACACTTCAGTGTGATCCCCTTCTTTTTTCCCTTTCCCACGTTACAGGATCCAAAACTCACTTAACAAAATCAATGTATTGACTTCCTCTCTTCACATTAACACTTCCTGAATGATTATGATGAACCTGCTCCTCTTCCCCTTGAAAACATGGGCCTCCTTCACATTAATATTACATTAATAACCTCTCTGTGAACCAGTAAAAGCATACAAACAAGATGTGATCAACAGGGTTTTACCTGACTCACCCATTATCCTGCTGAGCACAGCATTTCTTGTGGGTGACTCATCAAGAAGCCCCTCAAGCCCGCTGTAGAGGGAGTGGGAAATCCTTCGTTCTCTATCATCCAACACCGTTTCAATGGGCAGCTCAGGTCCAGAGGGGCTCCCAGGTGACTTGAGCTGCAGAGAGCGGGGTGGGGGGGGGGGCGAGGGAAAGTCAGGACTGGAGGACCA